AAGTTAAATTAAGTTATTCATATAACCGTATAAAACAAAAAAAAAACAAAAACAAAAAAATTAAAAGAAGATTTTCCAACTTTGATTTTCTTCGATAAATCGAGGAAGCTGAATCCAACTTTTTCCAGCATTTTAAAATCCAATCCAACGTTGAATTGAAAAATATGAAGAGTAGCGGGTTAAATGTTCAATTGGGTTGAATTGAAAGCAAGTAATAATCTTAACAATATATAATATATTAATATAATTTATCACCTAATTTTTAAAATATTTTTGTAAGTCTATTAAATTTAAAATTGTACACTTGTTGTAAAACTATAAGATGAATATTGATTATTATGCAGTCTTTCTATCTAATTTAGAGAGTCTTTCATTCTAATTGTAACTCTAATTTTGAACCATATAAATACGAGTCTTGATTATCAATAAAATATACACTTAAGTTTTGATTCTCTACTTTTCTTTCTATTTATTCTCTATATTTCTCTTTTATTCTTTTAATTTTATAACACGTTATAAGCACGAACATTTTTTTTTAATCTAATTACTATTTTTTCTTAGGAAATTTTTTTATTAATGACTGATACTCTCTGCATCAAAGTTTGTCCACAATTTCAAATTGTGATTTCTTTTTTTAATATTACACATCTCTGCACCCTAATTCCCAATTCCGAACTCTATTAGAATATTCCTATGTCTTGCACCCAATTTTGAAAATACCTTATGTCTGCTTTTTACTTGAATATTATGACGGAATTTGTATATATGTCTTGTAACATAATTGTTTCTTTCCTCGATAAAAAATTAGTTGCATGGGGTTTGTGTAGAAAAATTAATCTGTAAGTAAGTGTTGTGATACATATTCCATTGAATTTCTTTACATTTCATTATTCACGTCAATTGTAAAAAGTAATATTTTATAGTAATTTTTATTGCACATTAAATTAAAGTAAATATTTTTATAAGTGTTAGTTGAGATATCAATAAATGGTTTAATACTATTACTTATTAAACGTTATCAATTAATTTAATTGAAAACAAAGTACTTCACATTTCTCTTTAGGGAAAGATATTATGTATCATGCCAACATCATAATTCTCCATGTTATAATTGGCTTAGACAAAGCCTAATTTTTTTATTTAATTATTTTGATAGTACAATATATGCAAAATTAATCCATCACAATGTTCTGAAATGGAAAGTAAAGAATGTTGACAATAAATGAGTTGTTTGAACCCTTATACAATATATCAAGCCCTAACGGTTGGTTTTTTATAAAGTGCTTTGCTAATTGTCAGCTTGATTGGACAATTCTCTTAGTATTAGGGGAAGAAATTAAGAAGTTGGAAATAATTTTACAAATGCATCATTATCTAAATCTTCGTAAAAGATAGTTCGAAAGACAATTTATTTAGATGCATTTACTAAGCAAATAGATCAACAATATCTCACATATCAACTTTAAAATGTTCCAATTCGAATTAACGTCATTGAGGAGAATTAGTTAATATTATATTAAATAAATTTATGGCACGCCTGAAGCTTGATAATATTCGATTCTAATACAAAAACATTTCAAATGAAAATGGAGAAATTACCAAAGATGTTTCCATTAAGAAGACATATACTCTTGATAAATATTTAGACATAACTAATTATAAAATCTTATAAGAGATTCAGGTACCTGATATGTTGAAAATTAAAATATCTTTATAAGTTATGTCATCATTAGAAAAGAATATAATCGAAAAAAGAAAAAAAGTTGTCGACAACACTTTTGTACATGGTGTACTGCATCATATAGTGAGGAAGAGAAATAAATGCATCGAAATATATCGATCGAAGTAATAATTACCCAAATAAAAAGGATGTCATCCTAAATTGATTACTAAAGAAATTAGAAATTTTTTATTACTAGAGAAATTAGAAATTTTTGAACCCGCACTCCGAAAATCTAAAGATGTATACTTATACGAAAAAGAAATGAGAAAAGTTGTAATATGAAATGCACGACCCTTTACATAATGAATTTTGCGAAGACTTGTATAAATAAATAAATTATTATGTGATGAATGTAATCACCAGTCTCAATTTCATTATCATGACAATGCATGAAATTTAATATGCATGTAATAAATGTGATTATAGACAATTTATCTTGTATGATTTTGATACTATCTTAGAAGGATTTGATATACATGAAACATAATTCAAGTGATATTATTATGAGGGGAATAAATACGCGTTGTACTCTTTTTTCCTAAACATAAATTTTGTTACATTGAATTTTCTTGGAAAGATTTTTATAGAGACAACTTTTATAGCGTATTCAAAAGAATAATATACGTTTTTTTTCTTTCATTATGATTTTTCTCACATGATTTTCCTAATAAGGTTTTAATAAGACACATTTTTTTTGTTTAAACTTGTCATTAACCTACAAGATATTTTCCCTTAAAAATATATTTTTATATGCATGATCTCACGAAGAGATCAACAAGAGTTATTTTCCGGGTCCGATATTAACCTTTCACCATTCATTTTGTGATAAACAAAGTTGATGTAGTAGCTCATTTTGAAATACGATTATTTCAATCTGTGTTTGCTTATTGAGCTGTTTCAAGATAATACTATGAAACAAGAATATTGGTCTATGACTCTATGATAAGAATTTTCTATTGATTCTTCACATTCCAGTAGTATATATGTGTACAAGAGTTCTCTTTTTGTAGAATTTTGTTCCATCGAAAGGTTAGGACCGCATTACGTTAGGCTGCTTCCTATTGCATGAACTAGCATTTTTTATTCATGATGATGAATAAGGTGCATAAGGATAATGGAGTCGTAGAACAATTGTCAACAAACATGCCCTTAGTTTTATAAATTATTAAGGTTTGGTACAAATCCCTTTCTCACTAGGATCTCAGGGAGAAGTTATTGATCCTAGATGAAAGAACTGATCTAGTAGGTAGAACAAATCCATATTTGATTACAAATTTGTAGTATGAACTCTCATGAAATTTTCTTCAATCTCTATTTGGTTTTTTTAGTTGCCTTCTATATTCCGATATATCTAGCAATAAACTGAACATCAACAAATCCAAGTGATCTAGTGCATCATGGCCTTGGTAATGAATGTTGGAGAGTTTGAGTTAATGTAAGTGATTGATAATGTTAGCTTATATTGTCCCACACGTGAGCTTTTTCTTCTTAAAGATGCATTAGGAAGAGCAATTGCATGGCCGATTAAGTACATCGAAGTGGATTCGTTGTAATTACAACAAAGGTATACTTAA